AATAAATGAATATTACTGTAGTTCATTAAAATATTATTTTTTCGTAATTCATACTTTGTAAATATATGGCTTCATATTAAAAGTATCATATAAGATTAAAGTGTACTATAATAGCAGTGTGCATAGATTTATAGTCATACAAAACTTTCTTATGATATATTAGTTATTCTATCAAAAAAAAAACATAACTTTTAAATGTTAAGTATATTATAAGTTTATCTTTTGTTTTGTTTGTTTATCGTATTTAGTATATTCTGAATGTATCAGATATAAAATAATTTTGTTTTATATATTTCTGCTATATCGTTACTACAACAAAAAAAATTGTTCTTAGATAGAATAATTAGAAAAAGAGTTACAACATTTGATACTTGTGATAACAACTCTAGAATCCTAAAGAAACTTTAAAAATTAAATTATTATTTAAAATAATTATTATTATTATTATTATTATTGAAAATTAGAATTTTCTTATAAGCCTCCACCAACCTTGAAGAAACACTTGGTGCCTACAGTTTGTGCTTTTTTGCCACTCACTGTAGTTAAATTATATTGAATGCAGTGGGAAGTAACTGTTATACAAACGTACGCAGTCCAACAGTTTGAATGTTATTAGTAGTAAAATACTTTTCTGTTATACGAGCCAATAATGTTTTACAAATTGCATACAGAAGCATAGTTTGTGTTAATTTTCATAAAAAATAATTAACTATATATATCTTGAAGTATTTACTAAATTAGATATATAATGTAGATACATAATGTATAATGCAACTACAGTAATTAATTAATTAAATTTATAAGAGAGGTGTATTAATTATAAGTAAGTTTCTTTTACATTAAGTATAAATTTATTTTGTTGATAATTTGATATTTGACACAAAATGAGTTTACTTATTAAACATAATGTCTAATATGATTTTTACTGGTATTTATTATTAATCGAATTAAAATATATATGCTATCAAACTAGTCCAATTAGTACAAATCTAATTAGAAATGTTTAAAAGTCACTACATGGAAGTTTGACATTTAAAAAAATGTATTTGGCGCCAAAAAGAAAGCTGCGATCAGAAAGTGAATAATAAAAATGTAAATAATTTAAAATTCTAAACTAATTGAATATAAATAAACTATTAGTTTGTATAAAAAATATTCATATAAAATATATAGTGTATGAATAAAATAGCTTGCATTTTGTGACAAATTAGTTTTAATAATTAAAAGCTACATTAATAATTCACTTCTTTGAGTTATAAAAAGCCGTCTTCATTTTAATGTCGCGATCACTAAAATTTATTTAATATATTTAATAAAGATACTAAGTAAATAGCAGTGCTGCAGTATTAAACATTACGGATTTTTTCAAAAATTTAATAAACATTTAAACTAGAGAGATATTATTTTTTAGTTTTTAATATAAAGTTATGACATTTCTCCGTTTTTTTTTTATTTTGTAGTAACTTTTGCAGTGCATGAATTAAAAAAAAAAGTAGACGCTTTAAACAGAAATATCAATATATAAAACATTTTTAAATAATTATTCTGAAATTTCCGTACTTAGTCAGGTCAATTCCTCAAATTGAAGTTGAAGTAAACAATTTCAAAAAAAAAAAAATATTTTTGGACACAGAACTTTAAAGTTTCAACGAGTTTTAAGCCGATATTATTATTTCTGACTAGTCCACGTATACTAAAGATAATGGAAGCAGAAAAAGAGTAAGTCAATATAATTTTTAAACATTTTATTTAAATGTTTAAAATTTATTTATTTATTGCATATAAAAGCATGCAATAAATAATGCCTCTACAAAAGAATAGCACAAAACTCGAACAATTAAAATAACTATATTAATTAATTTAATTATTCTAAAACTATTTTATGATTTCGTACTAATATAACACAGCAAGTTAATTTGTTAATGAAGTTTCACAACAAATTAACAAAACATACAAGTGCGATCATATAAGTCAAATACGGCTTTAGCTAATGAACACTGACTCTGAGCAAATTTAGCAAGTTCAACCCCGCCATATAAGAAATATACCTTCTTGTATATATTTTTAATATACATATATATTTTCAAATATATTTATATATTTCGTATCATCCATAGTTCCAAAATCACTGAAGCTAAGTATTTGACAATACAGCTGTAAGCTTCTCCAAAAATTAATTAATAAAATTTTGTTGTTGCAATTAACTACTGTCCAAAAAAACTGCTCTATTAAAATAATACTTTCAATGAAGAAAACTATCTCTTTCCTCATAACTAACTTTAATTTAATTAAGTTTAATTTATAAATTTTTTAAACTATATTTATTATATATCTATTATACATAATTATTATTATACTATTTATTGATGATTTCATATGTGCTCTTCTTCCAGAAATTATAGACATACTGATTACACTGAAGATGAGTTAGAAGCCGCTTTTGCTTCACTTATGTTGGCAACAACACCAATAGTTTTTGCTGAAGTTACTACAGATTTATTGCCGACTCAAGAAATCGAAAACCAGGATGAAGTATCAACATCTATTAAAGAAGAAAATGATTTACCTGACATTATAATAAAACAAGCAGAGGAGGAGGTGCCAGTTGTGTTGACAAAACAGAACTTAGAACCCAAAGCAGATGGAAAAGAAAATCGTAAAAGACAACACAAATCAGGCCGTAAAGGACGTCGCAAAAAAGGTGGTGTGAAAACAGGCTACAAACCAGCCCCTAAACCAGATCGAAAATCAATTCGCTAAATATAATATGTGGCTTTAAAAAATCAAATCAAAAGAGTTTATAAGATTAAGTTTATATGAAAATAAAATATAAAATTTAATTTTAAATAATATATATTTTACTATAATATCTTATATATATTCTTATATCTTTATAAAATATATAGTAAATTAAATACATGTCTAATCTAATCAAAATATAATAATCCACTATGATTAAATTAATTTCTATTTTTAATTATTAAAATAATAAACTCATTTCTGTAGCAAATTAAGGACATAAATCAACAAAATAAATTTGTTCACAAGATTTATAAAGCAGTAACATAAATACAACAGCTGATTAATGACTTGTTTCAAGTTGAACAAAATATAAGTGTTGGTGTGAACACTGTTTTTTCATTCAAATTCATTAAACATATTTAATGTGTCGGTCTTAATATTACTTAATCAATGTAAATGCTTGGCACTGTATTTTAAAAATCAATTAGTCGCAACAGTAATCTACACTGCAATAGAACATAAAGTTGCAATTGAGGACATCTTTCATATAAACAAAGCAATAGAAAGTAATTTGAGAAATATAATAATAATAAAGATAATGATGAATATTTAATAGAATCTCAAATATCTTAATATTCCTTTCGTAAAAAGCTGATTGAAAAATCAGCTAAAGTCTATAGTTTTAAAGTTATATATACTGCTTTTTATCCAATATACCTTTATCCTTTCTAGCACATGCCAATAACAAGTTAGTACAGTTTGAAACAGTATTTACGTGGAAATCTGAATTGCCTGTAAACTTAGTAAGTTACTTATATGACTTCAAAAATGTGTCGTTTCCCTTGACATAAGTTACTTATTGCATGTGAAAGAAATTTTATGTGTCAGAAAGTTTTGTGAAAGTTTAGCTTCTACAGCTTCTATCTGTTAGGCCCATGTTATGCAGAGTGTCTCGGGCACGGCATGAGTAAAATTGTTGTTGTTTTCAATGCGAATTATAAAATTGAGATTGAGAGAAAAAACAATATGTCAATTCAAATTCCGGCATGATAGCCGGCGTATTTGTGCCTCGGCACTAAGGCAAAACAGTGTTGATTAGTAATAAATTTCAGAATTTGCGCCTTTTAGGAGCAAATTGCTACAATTTTACTACGTTTTGGAGAAAAAATGACAGTAAGCAACACAGCCTGTTTTTCTAAATCGCTAATAATGTAATTATTAAATATATAATTACATATTCAATTGATAAAAACAAAGATTTTATTAAATACTTACTTCCTCAATGCCTTTTTATACTCAGCAGCTCAGCTGTTGTTTAATTAGATTTTACATACCAAACCATAGCATATTTCAAAGTTGGTAGTTTCCCTTGTGGCAAATTTTTTTTTGGGTTGCATTTGACATTTTTCACCTTAATGCGCTGTGCACACCAACATTTTTGAGTGTCACTCAATAGAGGATATCTAAGAGTCTACTGCTTTTTGTTTTTTTTAAAGTCGAGTTAAAGTAACAACTTAATATGGCGTTTACACTGGCCGCAAATGAATCATTTGAAATCAGTCATTTAAGAGTCTTTACATTCGCAGTTATTCATTTGTTCTTATTTCAAACAGCTGATTTTTCAACGATCCTGTTGATTTGATTTGGAACTCATTTAAAACTCGTTGGAACTCATTTATGCAAAATGAGATCCATTGCGCGAGTGTGGATCCCATTTGCGCCTATAAGATTTTGTATACAGAAATCAGTCATTTGCTTTGCAAATATGATTTTTGACCCAAATCAGTCATTCGAGGTACATGCTATATAACTATGAACTTTGGTAGTTCATTTGATTAAATGACTCTGCGGTTGCGGTTATTATTGTTGTGTATCTTTATATCTTCATATTAGTGTCCTGTTTTATTTTATGAACTGTGTTGATTCGAATCGAATAAGCAAGAGTGTTGGATGTGTTGGGTCAATATTAATGTACAATCTCTTCAATAAGATTTTAATACTGATTATAATAAAAGCTTACTTAATTTTTTTTCAATATTCCCGTGCAGATTTTTATATCGTTAACTATTATTTTACTACAAATTAAAATAGTCCATCAATAAACGTTAAAAATGATCTCTACAAAAAAAAGACATTTTGGAACACTGGAAATAAAAATAAATTTTTAGGAACAGAAATTTTTGTTTTGTTTTGTTCCCAAAACTTTTTGTTCTTTCTTTTATTCACAAAATCTTTCCACAATGGAAGAAGGCGCAGAGTGAGTTTTTTTTTAAAAATTATTTTAATTAAAAATAATCTATTATTTAAGAAAATAATTAAGATTTTTGTTAAGTAGAAACTGAATATATGATTATTATTTATTGTTTTTTTCACTTTCGCAGTAACAGTAATGAGAAAAACACTTTGGAAAGCCTGAGACGGTTAAAGACCCCAGTAGTACTTGGTCCACCTCTTGAACATAAAGAGTAAGTCTGAAAATAAATTATTCGAAAATGTATTAAGTATAACGTTATTCATTCAAACTAATATGAACTGTATTCTTACAGTAAGTTTACCAGACATGTACGAACTTGATCGACATGGCGAGATGAATTAAATTGTCAATGTTTGTCTGTCTATAAGTTAGTTTGTCTGTTGTATTGTTAATTGCTTCAGTTTTTAAGCCTTTCGATTAAGCACTATTAAGCTACACTGCGCTTTTGGAGGAAGCATGTCAAAGAATAGATTATTCTGATCGACTATTGGGTGTTAATCGAGCACCCAAGCATACATATATCACGAAAAATATGGATCTTAAATCATATAACTAAACAATCGTTTGTTGATTTTAAGATGTTTTTTTCTCTATATCACATTCGTAAAACTTTATTTGTGGCATAAAATGTGATCCTCCAAAGTTATTCCAGAATTTATTTTTAACATTACTTAATAAATGTATCTGCAAATAATCTATTGTAAAATATCAAATTGGTAAAAAGACTAAATGTTTTTTAAAAAAATAAAATAGTAAAATTTTAAGTATAACAAAATTTCATTTTTATATAGAAATTATATATTTTAATTAATTTTAAATATACAATCTCTTATTTCCATTTCTAGAGTAACTGATTATACACAAGATGAACTGGACGCTGCTGTTGGGTTGTTAATGTTAGAACAAATGCCTGTAGTTTTCCCAATAGGTGATGACAATTTCGGCCCACCGACTTATACAAATGCTGGTTCAAAAAAACATCTTGACGACAACTAAAAAACATGTGGTTTCTAGTCAGTTCGTTGAAATATTCAATATTTTTTATATGAATAATATTTTGTAAAAATATGTGTACATATTAAAAACCACACAATTATATTAACTACATATAATTATTTTAACTATCTTTTAATATATTATTTATTATATTAAATCATATATAATATTTTACTGTTCAATACTCAATACTTTGTGGATACTATATTTTTTCTTTTTGGTTATTGTATTTAAAATGCTCTGAATGTAACAGATATAAAATAATTTTGTTTTATATTTTTTTGCTATATCTTTACTACAACAAAAAGAATAGTTCTTGGATAAATTAAATAGAAAAAGAGTAACATCGTTTGATACCTGCACCTTAGAATCTTATATGAAATTTAAAAATTTATTTATTATATTAAATAATTTGCCATCAACCACCGACTGCTTCTTTATGTTCAACGTACCATTAAAGAGCAATTGGTGTTACAATACTTTTTGCCACTCACTGTAGTCAAATTATATTGAATTTATAAGGGAGCAACTGCTGTTCAATCGTATGTAGTACAACAGTTTGAATACTATTGTCAATAATAGTATTCAAACTGTTGCACACATAATTCGATATTGGTTTTTTATAAGGAAGGACGGGATAGCTGATTCTTATACCACAACTAATTTCACTCTAAATTTATAAAATTAGTTTTAGTTTATAATTTTGTCTGGACCGAAAATATTATATAATAATTTATTAGCGGGCTAATTGGTCATTTAAATAGCAATAAAAAAACTGTAATTTATTATTTATATTTAAAAGGAATTTATATTTTATTAAAATACTTTTTCGATATTTCGTTTATCTTCGATATTCATCTTCAGTCCCCTTCTTTCCTGAAACCTTTTAAAAGCCTTTTACATTAAAAAAATAAGAAATAAATTAATTTTTTAGTTAATAATTTTCTATTAAACTACTCTTGTCTGTTTTTTGGATAAAAAAAAAATACTTTCTTTTTGTAATATCATTTAAACAACTTTTCTTTTTTTTTTGTTAATATTTTCAGGTGTATAATTATTGAAAATTAAAGCATACAATAATATTTAATTTCCCTCAATATGTATTATTGTTTATTTTTGAAATAGTAACTAAACAATATCACAAACAGCTCATAAATAACACTAAAGAACAAATTAATTTTAATGAACATATTTTTTTATATTTAATAATAGTTAATCTACACATTTATAAATATTTTCTGGTATAATCTTTGCTAATATTTATTATTAATTTTACTAAAATATTTATAATATTAAACTAGTCCAATTAGTACGAATTTAAAACAGGACAGTTTAAAAATCACTGTATGTAAGTTTGACGTTCAAAATATTTATTTGCCGCCAAAACAGGTACTGCGATTAGAAAGTAATAAAAGTTCTGTACGCTATAGCGGTAGTGTGAATAATTTATAATTTTAAATTAATTTAATGTAAGTCCTTTCATTGGTTGTATAAATAATTTCAAAATGTAGTGTGTAAATGTAATATATAGCATTTTGAGTTAATTTGGTTTTACTAATAAAAAATTACATTAAAAAAATAATCGAACTAAGTTATAAAAAGCTTTCTTAATTTTAATATCGCGAATACTAAATTTTATAAAATACATTTAACAAATGCACTGAGTAAATGTCAATAATACAGTAACAATTATTGAAAATATATTTCAAAATTTTAATAAATATTTAAACAATAAGACGATTGGTTTAAATTTCTAATATTTAGTTTTAAGCTTTTTCCTTTGCACTTTTTTTTGTGGT